TGGGTTGCCCTGTCAGCTAAATGTATTTTTTACAGTCTCTGTATGGTTTATGGTGAAATGGTGTTCTTTCCTTTCCAGGATTAAGGCCCCAAAAGTGCTTACTGAAATATTCAGAGGTTTAGAAATCCTTCTGTAACCAATGCCATTATTATGATTTGCAACATTAAGGTTGCAAATGTCTTGACAAAGCTCTTTACTTTTACCTGCCCCTTTTTCGCTTAGAAAACATTCAAATTGAACCAGAAGAACAGGACAGCCCCTTAGTAAATCTGAACCAGCTATTAATTTGCTCTTACAAGGGGCAAGATTGCTTTATAATTACTGAGAGATCAGCTGGTGTCTTGGCTTTCCATGCCTTTTTGTTCCTTCTCTTCTTCATGTGTTCTATACATTTTCCCTGTGCAATTCTGCGTTATTACACATAACTTATTTTCCGGACATCTATGGTTTGATTTCTTTGTATTTGTGGATTGCATGAATTGTTACCAACATCTGGTGAAAAGTCATGTCAATAGAACCTCTAGAAATATATTTACTGAGGAAATATCTATTCTCAGTCATCAAGGTCAAGCATGAAAAAGTTCAGTCTAGGCAACTGGATGTAAGGTTTTCTAGAAGACGTTTCCTCTCTCATCCAAGAGGCTTCTTCAGTCTTTACTTTTATCCAACTTTAACTTTTACCCATCATCATAACTGAAGAAGCCTCTTGGATGAAAGGGCAAAAACTTTACAGAGAAAAACGGTGCTGTGTTCAATACTTATTTTACCCGCTGGGGAGTGTTGACCTCGTGTTTAGAGCAGTGCGCCTTTGCTCTGAGAAGGTTGCAAGTACTTTGTTCGATCCCCACATCCACCACTCTGGGTTCCTGAGCAAGACCCTGAACTCCACACTGCTCCCTGTGCACCACACAATGGCAGCCCACTGTTCCCCAAGGGGATGGGTCAAATGCAGAGAGTGAATTTCCCCATTGTGGGACAAATAAGGGATTTACATTTTACATTTTGTTTATATTTTTGATCAGATGTAGAAACTGGTAGACTCTGTACTATTGCCTAGATACAGATGGTAGAAAAATGTAACCATAATGATTATGAATCACATGGGCCACAGCAGGGATTATTTCACAAGATAAAAATAGGCACATTATCTTTTTTGGCATCACTTCTCTTACTCCATGTTGGTCACTGATATTTGAACCAATGAGGAAGTTCTATTTCTAATCAGCTCAGACTGATTTGGTTGCTGGGAGATCCCTGAAGCACCTGCAAAACTTTGACCAGCTCAGGTAGCTTATAGGAGAC